TACATTGTATTTTAATAATACAATTATAAATATTATTTATAAGGATCCTCAAAAACAAGGGTTGACCACATCTACTTTTTGCCTTTGGAGCTAAATACCAAAAAGTAAATAGAAAATACTTGTCTTGGATGCAAACCAAATTTTAAAGCTCTGTGCAGATTTTGGGATCACAAGCTGCTTATCTATCCACATATGAGGCATTAGATACCTTTGAGAAAAACTCCCAAAGTAACTGCTTAAATGAGGTTGTTTTTGCAAATAGGAGGTTTTCTTCCAACAAATTATTGGAAATTTATTTCCAATGAATTTTTCCTGGAAAAATTAGCAGGAACTGTTTACTGCTCATTCTTTCTTACCACTTCAATGAACATAAGCCGTATTTCCTGCTCCCACCGCATCGCTGCCCCCTTCCACGTGGTCACGTCTGCTGGGATCCAGGCATTACTGTATATTATCCTGACTGATGGATTTGGGATACACACTTAGCCCAGATCCTCTTTCCCCTCCTCAGTTGCATCCTTTAAGGATAGTTACACTGACTTCTCTAGCACTCTTTTTAGCTATACTAAAAATATTAAATATATCCATACATACAATTAAGCTCTCCAACTCATGAAATTAATATGGTAAATAAGTACAATAGTCAAATTGAATTCAACTAAAATGTAACTGATGTACTCCACTGGCTCCCCATTTTCCCCTGGTGACAAGGGTAATTTTGACTGAATCACATACGGAAACCTATATATTCAGCCCTTCCTACACATGCAAGTATCTGCCTTGAGTGACCTTAAGTGATGATGCAGAATAAGCTTCTAATGGATTCTTTTATAGTTAAACCCTAGTCCTCTGGAAGACGCTTCATAAAATGGGGCACGTGTGTAGTTTTAAGCCTGCAGATGCATCTGCACTCTTGGCTTTAGGGGTCTCAGAGTCCTCGATGGCTCCTTATTGAGTACTAGCTGGGTGACATGCGCAGCAAGCCTCTGTGCCTCCATGGCACTTAGGGTGGCTTCTGGGCACTGCCCTGGTGACGTTTAAAATCTGTTGGCAAGAAGCGAATGTGTAGGGAATA